GTAGTCAATTTGACAACTGAAGAAAATTTCAGTGTAGTCAATGCCTTCTTTCTACCAGAATCATTTCACAACCAGTCTTGCTTTATATCGTTTGCCGCCATCATATTCATCTTTCACCCGATAAACACACTTGTTTTGCAATGCCCTCTTCCCTTGTGGTAGCTTTGTCAATTGCCAGATTTGATTTGTTACTAATGAGTCCATCTCATCCTTCATAGCTAGCTCCCACTTAATTGATTAATCAACTTGCATTGCTTCCTCGTAACACTCTGGTTCATCACCATTAGTTAGTAAAATATAATTCAATGAAAGGGAGTACCTCTATGGTGGTCTTAAAGTCCTGGAAGATCTTTTACGTTCAAACACGGGCGTTTGTGGTTCAACTTCTGGAGCTATATTATCTTGATCTTACTTGTCATTATCTTGCATGTCATTCTGTGGGAAGTCTTTTAAATGAACTACCTCTTGCTTCTTCACTTCAATGTTTGGATATTCTAACTTCATGTTGAGTCTATCCTTGTACATCACTTCTTCATTGAATATGACGTCTCTGCTCCTTATAATCTTATGGTTTTGGTCATCCCAGAAACGATAACCAAACTCGACATCACCATAACCAATGAAAAAACATTTGTTAGATTTAGCATCAAGCTTACTTCTAAGAGTATAGTCAATGTGAACATATACTAAACAACCAAACACTCTTAAGAATGAATAATTTACCTCTTTGCCGCTCCAAACTTCTGTTGAGATCTTGCAATTTAGCGGTACAAAGGGTTCTCTATTGAGCAAGTAGGCTGCAGTAGTAATTGCCTCGACCCAAAATGTCTATGGTAGTCTAACATGCAATATCATGCTTCTTGCACGCTCATTTAGGGTTTTGTTCATCCTTTCAGCGACACCATTTTGTTAAGGAGTTGCATGAATGATCTTCTTCGTCTTGATCCATTATTGGCACAATATTCTTTGAACCTTTGATCAATATACTCTCCCCCATTATCGGATCGCAAGCACTTCACCATTAGGTGTGTCTCATTTTCAACCATGACTCTCCACTTTTTAAAAATATAAAAAACATCAGATTTATTTTTCAAAAAATAAACTCATACCTTTTTGCTCGCATCATCAATGAACGTCACATAGTACTTTAAGCCTCCAAGGGATGACACAGGAGTGAGTCCCCACATAACTGTATGAACCAACTCCAACTTCTTTGCCTTTGGTTCCCTTTCTACTTTGGAAAAATTTACTCTTCTCTGTTTGCCAAAGATTCAACCTTCACACAAATTGTGATCAAGCGACTTCAACTCTGGTAGTTTTCCATTTGATTGAACCTCTTTCATTCATTTCACGCTCATATGTCGAAGTCTATAATGCCACAAACTCGAGGTAACACTAGCATCTACGACTGCAATTGAATCTTTGCAACTAGAAGTCATGTAAAGAGTTTCAGTTTTATTTTCACGAGCAACCACCATAGCTCCTTTAGTAACTTTCCATACACCACCTAGAAAGGACATACTATGCCCTTCATCGTCAAGTTACTCAACTGATATCAGATTGCACATCAATTTTGGTATATGCCTTACTTTCTAGATTTTCCACACAGATATGTTTGTCATCTTTAACCTAACATCGTCCATACCTATAATATCCAAAGGCTCTTCATCTACTAGGTATACCTTTCCATGATTTCCAACCACTTAATTTTCTAGAATTTTACGGTGTGCACTAGTATGAAATGAAACTCTTAAATCTAAAACCCAAGAGTCAATAGAATTATCAACAGATAAAAGTAAAGCATCTTGTACCTCTTCAATTACAACATTGGCAGCGTCATTATCGCTGTTCTCCTCTTTCTTTGGTGCTTTGCAATTCCTATGTATGTGGCCTTTGTTGCCACAATTCCAGCACTCAACTTTTTTTCCAAACCTAGACTTGCTTCTTCCGTTCCTTGATTTTGATCTTCCCCTGCCTCGGTTTGAATTTCTATCATAGCCTTTACCTCTTGTTTCAACATTCAAAGCATTCGAAGTTATCTCACCCAAATCTTTCCTGCGAACCTCCTCAATGAGAATTTTGTCTCTAACATATGTGAACTTTAATTTCACATTACCTGTTGAATTATTAATTGCTGCTCTCATAGGCTCCCAACTATTTGGTAGGAAGGCCATAAGAATTAGGACATAAACTTCTTCCTCAAAATCAATTTTTATAGGCGACAGCTGATTGATAATTTTATTAAAATCATTCATATGCTATGTCACGGAAGAACCTTCTCTTTTCTTAAGATTAAATAATTTTTTCATAAGATGTACCTTGTTATTCACAGAAGGCTTGTCATATATATCAGACAAGATCTTTACCAACCCTGTTGTGGTTGTCTCCTTCACCACGTTACTTGCCACGTTCTTAGTCAATGTCAACCGAATGACTCCTAATACTTGTCTATCAAGGAGTGTCAAATCTTCATCTGACATCTTTTTAGGTTTTGCTCCTAAGAGAGGTAGATGTAATTTTCTGCCATACAGATGATCTTTAATCTGCATCTTCCAGAATGCATAATCTGTTCCATCAAACTTGTTGATCCCATGTGCAAATCCTCCTTCTTCTCCAACCATCGCTTTCTTCCTCAAACCTCGCTCTGATACCAGTTGTTGGGGGGGATTTAATTGAATACTAGCAAATCATAAATCCCTGAAAGCAAAAAAAAATAGTATGAACAAAGGACACAAAATAACCATACACATAAACACAAGATTTATAATGGTTTACTCTCCATATGAGAGTTATCCACTTTGCTGCTACGGAATTTCACTATGAAGAAGAAGAAAAGAAATTACAAGAATCTCTCACAAGCCTCACAAATTGGCTCACTCACTAAACCCTATTTGATAGCTTTCACTCTCTAATTGTGGCTTTGCCTTCTATTCAATTTGTGTTCTCTAACTCTAGCACTTAACCCCTTTATATAGGTAATACATGAGACACTGTTCCTAATAGGACCCAAATCACATATCCTAATATGAATTATATTTTAATTCCTAATACAATTATAATCTTATTCCTAATTGTATTCCTAAAAGAAAAACAATTCTACTTGAACACAAATTAGGAAAACCCATGTCCTAATCCAATTCTAATTTGGATTGAATTTGACTCTACAATATCAACAATATTATAGGTGTTCTTTGTTGCCTAGCTACTTTTACCATTTTATTGCAGACTTCATGTCCACCACAAATAATTTGGCATCACCTACTAACTTTTTAAGTTTTAACCAAATAAGAAACTGCCTTCACACCGAAGTTTTTTGCCTAAAGGATGAATTGGTTGATTCCAACTTAAAATCAAACATTCTGTTAAGTAACTGTGTGTGGAACCGTTATTAATGTATTAAGCGAACGGGTCTAATTTTAGGCGTCAGATACATGCTCCTATCCAATCAGTTAATTAATATTCGCAGGATGACAATTTTAGAAATCATCTTATAAGCATAAAAATTGTACTTATCATGAAAAGGAAAGATGAGATATGGTTATATTTTACAAAAATCTTTTAACTCATAGTACAAAATTCAAATATTAGCTCAAACAGATTTATATAGACAGACACAATGAGAGAGTAGAAATGATCTGAGCTTGCAGTTTAGCAGACATTGCACCTAAAAAGGGGTTCTCCCAAGTGATAAACAAAACGTCAACAATGACGACATCTCGAAGACCCTCGAAATGCTCTCACCAACCTTAATTAATAAGATTAATGGATTTATAATCTTTCTCTATTCTCCTCTCCCTCGATTTTAATAACAATATGAGATCAAGAGAGAGATTCGGTCCCCCAACCATTTGGGTGTTTATGTGGACTACAAAGTGGTTTTTGATGGTAAAAGTGCCCAAACACACCCTAAACATAACTGTGGAAATTTTAGGTTTTTCAGCATCTCGAGCCACGAATGAGCTACTGGGTTGAAGCCGCAGGCTAAGCTAAAGAGAAGAGAAGAGATCAGTGGCTTGGCTTTTAATTAGAGATATAGAAAAATGGAGAATACCACCTAATTGAACAACAAAAGTGACTAAGATGTCCAAATCCAGAGGCCAACCGTACAAATTTGTTTATTAACTTCAAGGTGGTCAGGTTTGGGATCCCAACCCAACCATTTAAACTAAAAGAAACTTAACCTACAAATTTGTGTGGTCTTGTTCATACCACAATGCCCTCTTATCCTTTATTAATTACTTAATTAGGAAAGCCTAATCCAGTACTCCTAGTCCCTACTAACCTACTTACTGTGATATGCTGTGGATTAGCAAGTGAGAGGAAGCAAAAAAATTGTGTTTTATTTTCCAATTCACCCCTTAACTCTTTTTTTTTTTTTTTTTTTTAATAGATAGTATTCAGGCACACCTCAACTAGTTTTTTAGGACCCTGAAGTTGACGACTGGATAAATTCCCTCAATGGTCACCTCTATTAATGTCTATAAGGACTCAAACTTAAAAACTCATATTAGATCTCTTTACTCTTTTACCATCAAGTCATTCAGTGATGGTTCACCTTTTAACTTGTAAAATTATTATTCTAATCAATTTGTGAGCACTTATAATACACTAATAATTCAAACCCAATCTGGTAATTAATTAAAAGATTAAAAGTAAAACAAGTTGTGAATACACATTTTTTTTAATTCAACTTGTATAGAATAAAATACTGAAATTCAATTGAAAAGACGTATAACGGTTTATGAAGAATTTCACGTATTCTACCATATACATTTGACGTAGTAAATGTCTCGGGCTAATCAAACAATTAAGAATAGTGACAACTATTGTCTTACAATATGATTGAAATGCTGAATGGCATAGCTGAAATTTATCTAAACACCGAGTCTACTTACTCCAAGCTCTTCTAGAACAACTGAACTCCATAAGTCATACTGAAATTGAGTATAAATTGAGAGCATCTCCTCACTCCCAAATCACCAACTTCTTTAGTTGATAACATTACCGAGTTTGAGAGAGAGTTTTAGAGAGAGAGCAAAAAGTGAGAGAACAAAAGAAGTGGATGATGGACACGTCCGTGAATCCCAAGACCGAAACCATGTTCCCTCTTTCATCTTTCTACCCTGATGCTGTATCTGATACATTTGTGGTTTCACAACAAGGTTAGTAGCCTAAAGAAGAATCACTTTTCATCATTTTTTGCATACTTTTACGTTGATTGTTATGTGTTTGTCCTTAAACTTTTGTTCATGTTTAGGTGGAGAAGTAAAACAACGACGAAGACGCCGTAAGAACAAAGGAGGTGAAAGTAGCCTTTCTAAGAAGAGGAAGCTCACTGCTGAGCAACTGCTTCTTCTGGAGGAAAGTTTTGTGAACGACCAGAAGCTGGAAACGGACCGCAAGGAAGAACTGGCTTCCCAGCTGAATCTTGACCCTCGACAAGTTGCTATTTGGTTTCAGAACCGTCGGGCCCGTTGGAAGACCAAGAAGATTGAAGAAAAACTTACACAAATACAGACTTCTCATGACAGCATCATGTTAGATAAATTACGCCTCGAGTATGAGGTATACTTCTCTCTTCAGTTTTCATGTTAAATTTCTATTTCTAATTTTATCAAGCTTTGGTAACCTTGAGTTTATGTTCTTGAAAAATAAATACAACCCATCAAACTTATTCCCATGTTGAGTTGGCCGGCCTCTTCTTTCTCGCGATCCAAACAGGGAGAACTGCATTTCAGAGTAACTGCCACGTGTTGATTAGTTGGACCCGGATAACTCAAGATATTATATGAAACCATATATTACTTAACTCAAGATATTACGGACCCGGATATGTAATTCACGTTTTTCTTTGTGTATTAAAGTGGTCCGTCTTAAATTAACCGGGTATTTTTTTTTTCCCATTTAACACATGATTTCACATTCTTACTCAACATGAAACTAATATATTATTTCTGAAGAATATATGGTAGTTGGTGGTAGCTGCTTGCTTCGTTCCGTAATTGATGACTGGTGGAGTTATTTAAAAGAAAATGACACTGACTTAAAGCATCTTAAGTCATAACCATTAAAAAAAAAGGACCAAATGCCTGCCTGCCATTTATATTTGAAATGAGAATGAGCTCTGGGCTCGAAGAAAGCCATGCCATGCTGTTTCGTTATTCGTTAATCTATCTATTCAAAAAGAATTGACAAAGGGACAGAATACTGCCACCTCATTTGACAGTCCACAACGTCCGTACACATATATGAATATTTTTTTAAAGGGTTGTTGGATTTGGGCCTTTTAACATATGAAAGCCTAATGTAACTTGAATTGCAGGTGTTGATGCTGAGACAGGAACTCTCTGAAGCTCAGGCAAGGATCCAAGAGTTGACCGAGCATCCCAATGATGCAATATCAAGCAACAGTCCGCTAGCAAGTACAGTCTCAATGGAAACAGCGAACTCTCCATTATTTAGGGAATTTGGCGTTGAAACATACGACGATATTTTCTATGTGCCACCTGAAAGCGCATCAAGCGACTACAATGACGGCTTTGATTATGTCCTATTGTTTGATTAAGCCAAAGCAATGATGCATTAGTTATATGTTTATTAGAATGCTTTAAGTAGTCTAGTGTAGATAATTAATGACTATCCTATGTAATTATATCACTGCTGTGCGCCTTTCACTCTATGTACTTAACTACAAAAACTTGTCGTATGAATGGAAACTAGTAGTTGACTAGTTGTTGTGGTGTAAATGTAATATCGATGTTTATTTTTAATTTATTTATTTAAAAGTATAAGAACATGATTTCTCATGTGAAAAGGAATATACATATTTAAAGATATTGACTGATAATGACTGAGCATATATAATAAAAATATATAACCCCACCATTGCTATAAACAAGTATGAAAAGAGGACATCCATTACAATTTTTAACCAAATAATATAGGATAAGAAACACTTATTTAAGGAAATTGCATATACGCCTTATCTTAAAAGTTATTTTGTAATATTCTCTTTCTTCTCCAAATAAATATCATCTTGTATCTTGGGCACCCTGCACAGAAACTTTGAGCAAATCTTTACATAAAATATTTATAATATAGAATCCTTTCGAAAAATCTCCCACCAGTCAATTAGAGTCAAACTTTTTTTTCCAAAAGAGCCTACCTATCAACTTAAGATAACGTGGCACAAAGAAAGTGACATTGGGCAGCAGTGAAAACTTGAAAATTGGTACTGGAATCACAATTGATAATCAAAGACTTATGTGCTTAAAGTTTAGTTACATATTATTTGACGTCAGCATAGTATTGTTGGAATCATATTCTTTAATTATATCCTTGAATATGCTACACTTTTTTTTTTTTTTTTTCACCGATGGTGTATAGGCCAGTTTGTACGCACCTCAACTAATTTTGTAGTGCCCTAAAACTATTGGTCGGGTAAAAGCTTCAGTGGCCAGTGACTATCCCTATTAATGTCTTGAGGGACTCAAACTCAGGAGCTCATATAACCTCTTTTTGCTCTTTTATCATCAGGTCATGCAATGGTGGTTAATATGCTACACATTATGATCTCATGAGTAGAACATCTCATTAATTATAAAAGGAATCGCCATTTCTTCGAACATCCATTCATTATTAAGAAATTTCTCACTTTAAATATGATTTTTTTTATATGTCCTTACTTTGAGTACAAAGTTCATATTTTAATAAATATATTTAAATGTTAATATCTTTAAATTAAAGTATTTTTATGTTGCTTTGGTGACAATTGCTATTGTTGGGAGTCGCCTACGACAACATCGACATGTGAAGTACAAACGAGCGACGATTTGTTGTTGAGTGATGCGCAATGGTGAAAGTAAGTATGACCTTAATTCTTATTAGTAATTTTATATTACAAACGAATATAGGAATCATTATTTCATTCCCTCTCTCATCCCATCCCATTCTCATTCTCATTTTCATCTCACACAAAGAATTAGTAGAGTTGATAGAGTGCGGCATAGAGTGATATAAATTACAGAAAAATTGGGATCGGCCCATATGCATTTGTTTTTGTAAGGCAAAAGCGTGAACAGCCCATTCGATTTAAGGAAATTTTGTATATACGCCTTACCTTAAAAAGTTACTTTGTAATACTCTCTTTCTTCTCCAAATAAATATCATCTTGTATCTTGGGCACCCTGCACAAAAAACTTTGAGCAAATCTTTACATAAAATGTTTATAATATAGATTCCTTGAGAAAAATCTCCCACCAGTCAATTAGAGTCAACTTTTTTTTTTTTTCCTCCAAAAAAGAGTCTTACCTATGAACTTAAGATAACGTAGCACACAGAAAGTGACATTGGGCAACACTAGAAACTTGAAAATTGGTGCTAGAATATTTACAGAATTCTATTTGTTCTCAACCTATATCCTTTTTTTTTTTTTTTTTTTTTTTTTTTTTTAATGACTGGAGGTGTCCAAGCCAGTTTACGCTTACGTCAACTAATCCCCTAGAATCCTGAAACTATTAATCAAATAAGAGCTTCAATGGTTACCCATATTAGCAATCGAGGAGGGACTTGAACTTAAAATCTCTTGAGTAATACACCCAAGAGTCTCTATCGAACCATTCAGTCACCCAAAGGTAGTTAACTCAACTTAGATCTTAATTGATAATCACTTTATAAATATATGTTGCCAATACATATGTACTTAAAGTTTAGTTACATATTATTTGACATCAGCATAGTATTGATGGAATCTTATTCTTTAATTATATCCTTGTAGGGGTGTAATCAAGCCGAGTCGAACTGAGTTTTTCGCTAATTGAGCTTGGCTCGGTTACTGTAGCAACGAGCTCGAGTTTGAGCTCAAGCCCAATCAAGCTTGGAAAAGCTAAATCGAACTGAACTCAAAAAACTGTTGGAAGCTTGAATTCGAATTCGAGCTCAAGCCAACTCGAATTCGCACCCTTGGTTGTACTTCTGCTTGTGCCTCTAAGTCTAGGGATGTAATTGAGCCGAGCAAAGCTGAGTCTTTGGCTAATCGAGTTTGGTTCGATTATTATAGCAACGAGCTCGAGTTCGAGCTTGACCCAATCAACCTTGGCAAAGCTGAATCGAACTCGAACTCGAAGTACAGTCGGAAGCTCAAATTCGAACTCGAGCTCGAGCTCGAGCCAACTCGAATTCTCACCCTTGGTTGTACTTGTGCTTCCGCCTCTGACGAATCTTAACCAAACCTTTTCAGAGGGAGTCACGAAGGAACTTCTCTTTTAGCAGTAGTTGCCTATAGAATGAGTCAATGAGAGCTTATTTAGAAAGATGCAAAACAAACATGTATAATTATAAACTAAAATTGAGAGTGAGACGGGAATGAGAGTGTGAGTGAGACAAGAGTCACGAGAAGAAGCATAAGGATTCGTTAGAGGAGAAGGAAAACAGCGAAGGAGAGACGGTGATGAACAAAGTAAATCGACGAAGGAAAGACAACAACCAACAAAGTAAATCAGCGAAGGAGAGATGGCGAACGAAAGAAGGCGACAGACAAAGTAAATTGGCGAATGAGAGATGAGGACAAACAAAGTAAATTGGCGAAAGAGAGAGCTTTTTAGAGTTAGGTTTGTTTCTAATTTGATTTACCAACTCCCAAATCAATTTTGATTTCATTTGATATAATATCGATGGATTTGCAATTTTTTAAAACTAAAACATATCATAAATTCATATGGCCCCCTATTACTTTAAAACCTAGCAAATAAACCCTCATGCTCGCGAGCTTTATCAATCGGGTAGTACCGTGTTCGAACTCAGCTCGAGATTGTAATCGAGCCGGCTCGGCTTGCACTTGACTTGTCCCAAGTCGAGCCGATTTTGAGTAAATCTCGAGTCAAGCTCGAGCGGCTTGGCTCGACTTTCACCCCTACCTCTGACGAATCTTGACCAACCCTTTTTAAAGGGAGTCCTAGAGGAGCTTCCCTTTTAGCAGCAACTGCCTATAAAATAAGTCAATAAGAGCTTATTCAGCAAGATGCAAAACAAATATGTATAATTATAAACTAAAATTGAGAGTGAGATGGGAATGAGAGTGTGAGTGAGACGAGAGTCACAAAAGTGAGATTGAGAGGCTAAGAGTAACATACAAAACTACGAGTGTGAGTGAGATTGAGACTTTGAGAGGCTGTAAAATAAACATTACCTAAGATTGAGAGTCTAAGACAAGAGTCACGAGAAGAAGCAGAAAGATTCGTTTTCTTTGGAGGAGAAGGAAAATGGCAAAGGAAAGACGGTGACGAACAAAGTAAATCAGTGAAGGTAAGACAAGGAACGAAAGATGGCAACAAACAAAGTAAATCGATGAATGAGGGACAACAAACGAAAGACGGTGACAAACAAAGTAAATTGGCAAATGAGAGAGCTTTTAGAGTTAGGTTTTATTTCTAATTTGATTTACCAATTCCCAAACCGATTTTGATTTCGTATGATACAGTATGGGTGGATTTGCAATTTTTTAAAACTAAAACATATCATATATTTATATGGCCCCCTATTACTTTAAAACCTAGCAAATAAACCCTTGAGCTGGCTCAAGCTCGTGAGCTTCACGAGCCGAGTAGTACTATGTTCAAACAGTGTTGAGCTGGTTTGGCTCGCACTCAGCTCGTCCCAAGCCGAGCCGATTTCGAGTAAATCTTGAGCCGAGCAACTTTCATCCTTACTTCTGACGAATCTTGACCAGCTCTTTTCAGAGGGAGTCCTAGAGGAGCTTCTCTTTTAGTAGCAGTTGCCTATAGAATGAGTCAATGACAACTTATTTAGCAAGATGCAAAACAAACATGTATAATTATAAACTAAAATTGAGAGTGAGAGTGAGACAGGAATGAGAGTGAGAGTGATACAAGAGTCACGAAAGTGAGATTGTGAGGCTAGAACTGAGAGTAACATACGAGACTAAGAGTGTGAGTGAGATTCAGACTTTAAGAAGCTGTAAAATAAACACTACCTGAGATTGGGAGTCTGAGACTAAGAGTGAGACGAGAGTCATGAGAAGAAGTAGAAGGATTCGTCGGAGGAGAAGGAAAATGGCGAAGGAGAGACGGCGACGAATAAAGGACATTGGCGAAGGAGATACGGCGAATGAAAGACGGCTACGAACAAAGTAAATCGACAAATGAAAGACGGCGACAAACAAAGTAAATTTGCGTTTGTTTCAAATTTGATTTACCAATTCCCAAATTGATTTTGATTTCAATTGATATAGTATGGGTGGATTTGCAATTTTTTAAAACTAAAATATATCATAAATTCACATGGCCTCCTATTACTTTAAAACCTGGCAGATAAACCCTCGATTTGGCTCAAGCTCACGCGCTTCACAAGCTGAGTAGTACCGTGTTTGAACTCGACTCGACACAGTAGTCGAGCTAGCTCAGCTTGCACTCTGCTCGTCCCAAGTTGAGCTGATTTTGAGTAAATCTTGAGCAGAGCGCGAGCGGCTTGGCTTAGCTTTCACCCCGACCTTGAACGAATCTTGACCCGCCATTTTCAAAGGGAGTCCTAGATGAGCTTCTCTTTATGTAGCTACCTGTAGAATGCATCAATGACAGCTTATTCAGCAAGATGCAAAACAAACTTGTATAATTATAAACTATAATTGAGAGTGAGACGGGAATGAGAGTGTGAGTGAGACGAGAGTCACGAAAGTGAGATTGAGAGGCTAAGATTGAGAGTGTGAGTGAAACTGAGACTTTGAGAGGCTGTAAATAAACATTACCTGAGATTGAGAGTCTAAGAGTGAGACGAGAGTCACGAGAAGAAGCAGAAGGATTTGTCGGAGGAGAGGGAAAACGGCAAAGAGAGACGGCTAACAAAAGACAATGACAAACAAAGTAAATCAGCGAAAGAGAGAGCTTTTTAGAGTTTGATTTACCAATTCCCAAATCGATTTTGATATAATATGGGTGGATTTGCAATTTTTTAAAACTAAAACATATCATAAATTCATACGGTCCCCTATTACTTTAAAACCTAGCAAATATACCCTCAAGTTGGCTCAAGTTCGCCAGCTTTACGAGCCGAGTAGTACCGTGTTTGAACTCGGCTTGACACTGTAGTCGAGCCAACTCGGCTCGCACTAGGCTCATCCCAAGCCGAGCTGGTTTCAAGTAAATCTTGAGTCGAGCTCGAGCCACTTGCAAGCGGCTCAGCTCTGCTCTCATACCTAACCTTGAATTTGCTACACATTATGATCCCATGGAGTATAATGTCTCATTTATTATAAAAGGAATCGCCGTTTCTTCCAATATCCATTCATTCTTAAGAAATTTCTCACTTTAAATATGATTTTTTTTTTATGTCCTTGCTTTGAGTTCAAAACTTATATTTTGCCCCTTAAATAAATATATTTAACTTTTATTTATTTTATTATTTAATATCTTTAAATTAAAGTACTTTTATGTTGTTTTGGTGACAATTGTTATTGTTGGGAGTTGTCTCGACAACATCGACATGTGAAGTACAAGAGAGAGATGATCTATTTTTTCGAGCTGTTGACTGAAACGCAATGGTGAAAGAAAGTATGACCTTAATTCTTATTAGTAATTTTATATTAGAAACAAATATAGGAATCATTATTTCATTCCCTCTCTCATCCCATTCCATTCTCATTCTCATTTTCATCTTACACAAAGAACTAGTAAGAGTTGATAAGAGTGCGGCAAAGAGTGATATAGATTAATCTTACAGAAAAATTGGGATCGGCCCATGTGCATTTGTTTTGGTAATGTAAAAGTGTGAACAGCCCATTTGATTGTCCTCCAAAACACCTCAAATTTCAAAGCTCAACACACAAATGGAAATTTCTAAATAAAGTTATACTCCCATAAACAACTGTAGATAAGAACATACTCTTATGGAGGGCTAATCTCTAAACATTGCCTTAATTATTGTGTTTGCTTATGCTCCACACTTTTCATTTCCACCTTACTTTGCTCTTCTTCCATAAATAAATACCTTCTCAGTTTACTATATATTCTTTTTGATTGAATATAATTTCCGTATTTCATCAGTTTCCATATAATAAGGTGGTACACGAGATGGGAAACACATGATAAGTTTATGCTTTATTTATCAACTTGTCATAAGTGACAACATACTCTGCTGTAATAAGTTTATGTTTAAAGATTTGGAAAATCTTCAAACCTTTGACTTTAATTCATACATACAAAGGATAAGGTTAGACATATATTACTGAATCTTGATAAAGTATTTCCATTTGTTTACAACTTACAAAAATAATTACAAAAGTTGGAAACAAGGGGAAACAGCTCATTTATTTCCAAAATTACTTTGCTGGTCATTTTACTTGTTTAAGTAAATTAACCCAAATATCAAATGACTCATTTACCCTTTTTTTTTTTTTTTTTTTGGGTAACCGGGATGTCCAAGCTTACTTGCGCACACCTTAACTAATTATGGGGATCCATTCAATACTGTACAAGCCTAAAGAACCAGATAAGTTATAATGTTATTGTAATATAGTCTCAAGGTTTGAACCAAAAAACTTAAAGAAGAGAACAAACCTCCTTAACCATCAGGTCAATCCCTTGGGGTTCTCATTTACCCTTATTAACCCCAATATTACGCATAAACTCACTTTTAAACGGGATAGTCACCTTACCACAAACAAACTTAATTAATCATTTATTAAAGTAATTAATGAATATTTTTCTAAATAAGTACATATAATTTAGATAATTAACTTTCCAAAACTTCCCTCTCTTTTTAAATTCCTCATTTCTTCTATTTGTTACATTCTCTGTTCCCTTGCACCCCTCATTACAAAGCTGTCAAAATTATGGAAAGTTTTGTGAGCAAAGACAGAGAGTTGTCTCAACTCTCTTTGTCTTACTGTGGTTCAACCATGAGCAATACCACAAGTTTCCTTCCACTCACAACAACGTTGGATGCTGAAGAAGAAGAAGAAGAAGATTTTATTTTCAATATTCATAATTCTTTGTTGGTTGATCCCCGACATGTTTTGCTTGGCAAAGTGACCGGTGAAGGGTCTTATTCGATCGTTCACCAAGGCATGTAGGTTTTGCTTCTTCTTTTTTTCTTCATGCGTTCGATAAATATTTACATTGTGTGCATGACTGCATCTTCTTGAATTTTCTTGTCCTTTTATCTTGTGTTCTTGACTGTTGTGTTTATTGTTTTCTTTTGACTTAGGACTAACTTTGGTAGTGGAATTTTGGTTTTTTTCCTGTAATGACAAAACTCTTTGAGGGATAAGGATGTATAATGAGTTCAATTGGATTGGTGTTTGGCTCTTTGAGATGTTAATTTGCGATATTAGTGCAAATATTTTAGGTTTTTATTTTTTCATCATTGAGTAACTGAACAATGCTATCTTCAAATTTGATCTTCTTTGCTTTGTGGGAAAGTCAGTCCATGTGCAATTTCTTTTATTTTGAGTAGAAAAGGAATTTGAGGTTGATTCACCAAGGATAAAATACAGAGAAATGGTTGTTCTGTTGCTTATTCTAGCTTTTGTAAATTTTATCTGTTTCGAACTCCTATTAAACTGTCTGTTTCTAGAGATGTATTATAATAATGATGATGTGTCACCTAATCTATATACATATTTTATCAAACATATGTATATAGATTAGTGTTACATTATGGGAAGAACTTTGAGGTTTTAATTACATTAGCTGGTCGATTGGAGTTCCATGCGGATGTTTAGTATTTTGGGTTTTATGTCGTGGCATTAAGATGATTGTAGAATTCCATCTGGGAGGTTCAAGTTTGATATGATGGATCACCAACCGGCAATGCTTGCCTAATTTTTTTTGGTAATATTCCGATATAATAAGTTACCTGCCCCATTTAATCTCTCATTCCACTTGTGGAGCTAGCATAATATGGTATTCTTTTGACAGCAGATTTTGTAGTTTTAAAATGATCATTTAAATTGAAAAATCAGAGCTTTTGCATATAAATCACAGTGAAAAAGTCTAATTAGGAATTTTCTCCAAGGTAAATGCATCAACAGACTGGAGAAATTGTTATGGGGGAATCTTTGAAGTGTATTGAAGCAGAAATAAGATTATGCATATAGGAGAACATGAGTAGTATTAATTTTTTTCTTCTAAAACATGTGTTGAAGTTGAACCAAGTAATTTTTTATACAAAGTGCTAATTTACCAGCCTTGGACTGAATGTTGATTAGGCATATATTTATTGTATGTGCTCTATAAACATCTTTAAGTCTTGTAATCTATTTCTGTCATAATCTAAAATGTCACATCCTGATTTTTTAATGCTAATGCTTGCTGGATCATATATAATGTTAGTTATGAGTCCAAGCCTGTTGCCGTGAAAATATTACAGTTGCATAAGACACCTGCTCTCAATCGTAAATATAAACTGAAATTTCAGAGGGAGGTCACCCTGCTATCAAGGACAAATCATGGAAATATTTTGAAGGTATTCTTCTTTATTTCCTATTATATATATGCATATATAAGTATATTAACACACATGTGATTTAGTTTTTCTCGTTTATCCTCTTTCAAATATGTTGCAAACCAGATAGAATGGTGAAGAAACAACTTAAACTTCTTTATAACTTTCTGTTCTAAGGTAACAACTGACTTTTTCCTGTTATATGCATACCAGTATAAACAACAGATGATCTACATTTTGTAAGAATACTCTTTTACCTTAACATTTGAGAATTTGAATGCGTTATCAAGCATTCTTTTTCAGGATTACGATTAATATTTATCATTATTAATACTTTCTTTGCATATGCATAATCTTTCAAACAACTGTAGATATGCCCTTCTTAGACAATTGAAACGAAGCGCTTTGGATGGTCAAGACTGCATAGTAGCATGTATAATGAAAAAAATATGCCACCATGAATCCTTCCCCCAAATTATCTTCAATCATTATCATTACCGATTGATATTTAAATGAATCAGCTACTGTACACTTTTTCCTTTATATGCATATATTATCCATAATTCTTGAACCTTGTTCATAGCTTGTACCTCTAGTTATCAGACAAGATGTAGGTACAGAAGTTACACATTCATCAGTAATATATTTAGTTTCCATTTTGACTTTCAAGGAATACCTATTTCCCTAATCATATTGAGGCGAGATTGAACTTCTGACTACTCACCTAACAGATACCATACTCTTGTTTGTATAATCCTACGTTTAAAAATACCGCATAAATGGCTTCCCAAATGAACTATAGGGTGTCTGAGGATTGCCTTGATGTACACATTATACTGATTATTTTATAAGTTAACAGATAATTCTTCATTTATGGAAGATATATCCTCTGGCATAATGAATCTGTCGCAAATCGATTATTTTTTCAAAGTAGAAGACAATTGGCTCCTGGAGGACAACATTCTTTTATCTTCATTATGTCTTCAAATTAGGCCTTCAATTAACTGAACTTATTTATCTGCATCCTTAACTTCAAAAAGTTTTGTTGACTATTAGATATTTTGGTTTCACAAAATAATTTTTCTGTACACATAATGATGTCCCTGCTATTTTTTGTTTTCTAGTANTGTTACATTATGGGAAGAACTTTGAGGTTTTAATTACATTAGCTGGTCGATTGGAGTTCCATGCGGATGTTTAGTATTTTGGGTTTTATGTCGTGGCATTAAGATGATTGTAGAATTTCATCTGGGAGGTTCAAGTTTGATATGATGGATCACCAACCGGCAATGCTTGCCTAATTTTTTTTGGTAATATTCCGATATAATAAGTTACCTGCCCCATTTAATCTCTCATTCCACTTGTGGAGCTAGCATAATATGGTATTCTTTTGACAGCAGATTTTGTAGTTTTAAAATGATCATTTAAATTGAAAAATCAGAGCTTTTGCATATAAATCACAGTGAAAAAGTCTAATTAGGAATTTTCTCCAAGGTAAATGCATCAACAGACTGGAGAAATTGTTATGGGGGAATCTTTGAAGTGTATTGAAGCAGAAATAAGATTATGCATATAGGAGAACATGAGTAGTATTAATTTTTTTCTTCTAAAACATGTGTTGAAGTTGAACCAAGTAATTTTTTATACAAAGTGCTAATTTACCAGCCTTGGACTGAATGTTGATTAGGCATATATTTATTGTATGTGCTCTATAAACATCTTTAAGTCTTGTAATCTATTTCTGTCATAATCTAAAATGTCACATCCTGATTTTTTAATGCTAATGCTTGCTGGATCATATATAATGTTAGTTATGAGTCCAAGCCTGTTGCCGTGAAAATATTACAGTTGCATAAGACACCTGCTCTCAATCGTAAATATAAACTGAAATTTCAGAGGGAGGTCACCCTGCTATCAAGGACAAATCATGGAAATATTTTGAAGGTATTCTTCTTTATTTCCTATTATATATATGCATATATAAGTATATTAACACACATGTGATTTAGTTTTTCTCGTTTATCCTCTTTCAAATATGTTGCAAACCAGATAGAATGGTGAAGAAACAACTTAAACTTCTTTATAACTTTCTGTTCTAAGGTAACAACTGACTTTTTCCTGTTATATGCATACCAGTATAAACAACAGATGATCTACATTTTGTAAGAATACTCTTTTACCTTAACATTTGAGAATTTGAATGCGTTATCAAGCATTCTTTTTCAGGATTACGATTAATATTTATCATTATTAATACTTTCTTTGCATATGCATAATCTTTCAAACAACTGTAGATATGCCCTTCTTAGACAACTGAAACGAAGCGCTTCGGATGGTCAAGACTGCATAGTAGCATGTATAATGCAAAAAATATGCCACCATGAATCCTTCCCCCAAATTATCTTCAATCATTATCATTACCGATTGATATTTAAATGAATCAGCTACTGTACACTTTTTCCTTTATATGCATTTGTTATCCATAATTCTTGAACCTTGTTCATAGCTTGTACCTCTAGTTATCAGACAAGATGTAGGTACAGAAGTTACACATTCATCAGTAATATATTTAGTTTCCATTTTGACTTTCAAGGAATACCTATTTCCCTAATCATATTGAGGCGAGATTGAACTTCTGACTACTCACCCAACAGATACCATACTCTTGTTTGTATAATCCTACGTTTAAAAATACCGCATAAATGGCTTCCCAAATGAACTATAGGGTGTCTGAGGATTGCCTTGATGTACACATTATACTGATTATTTTATAAGTTAACAGATAATTCTTCATTTATGGAAGATATATCCTCTGGAATAATGAATCTGTCGCAAATCGATTATTTTTTCAAAGTAGAAGACAATTGGCTCCTGGAGGACAACATTCTTTTATCTTCATTATGTCTTCAAATTAGGACTTCAATTAACTGAACTTATTTATCTGCATCTTTAACTTCAAAAAGTTTTGTTGACTATTAGATATTTTGGTTTCACAAAATAATTTTTCTGTACACATAATGAAGTCCCTGCTATTTTTTGTTTTCTAGTAGATCTTCAGTTAACAGCATCACTAATTCAGTATATTTATTTGCTAATGCAGTTTGTTGGTGCCTGTATTGAACCAACCATGATGTTAATTACTGAATTTATGGGGGGTGGTAATCTTCAGAAGTACCTATGGAGTGTTCGCCCGCAATGTCTAGAACTGAAGCTCTCGATAAGTTTTGCATTGGAGATTTCTCGAGCTATGGAATACTTGCATGCTAATGGCATTATTCATCGTGATCTGAAGCCAAGTAACCAATTCTCTTTTGTTATAGATTTCAGTTCATTGGTTGAGCAGCTGATCAGTAAAGTCTGGAGCTCTGTTTTCGTTTGGACCTTATCTCCTCCCGTTAATGATTTTTTTTTTTTTTTTCGTTTTCCAAATACTTGAGAACCTAGTCATTATTTCTTTTACTTCCTACATGCGTGAATAGCTCAAATATTTTTTATCCCTCACCAATAGTTGAAATGGTTGAGACTTGAGACTTCTTCAGTATTCTACTTCTCATATATTCACCACGTTTGTCTCAGGTAATATACTCCTGACAGAAGATAAAAAGCATATTAAGGTGGGTGACTTTGGGTTGGCTAGGGAGGAAGTTATGGATGAGATGACTTGTGAAGCTGGTACTTATAGATGGATGGCTCCAGAGGTAATTTGTCTTTTGTTTTTTGGTATCATTACTGAGTACGATCACAGATCATTCTGTTAAATCTAATTCTTTTTCTCTTCTGAATTAGATATTCAGCCAAGACCCTATTCCAATCGGAGTGAAGAAACATTATGACCACAAGGTGGATGTATATAGCTTCGCAATGGTTCTGTGGGAGTTACTCACAAATACAGTTCCCTTCAAGGGGAAGGAAAGCATGTCAGTAGCGTATGCCGCTGCTAAAGTATGTCCGTAACTTTCCAACTTTAATCACCAAAAACTTGCAAGATTTCAGCCCAATTTTTAAGATTAAAGTTTCCTTTCTTCCAGAAATTGTTTTCTACACATAGTACTATACAAAATTTTCCCTGAAATCCATAAGTGATAAAATTTGAAGTAAACCTGACTCTTCACTCAATAAGACATTATTAAAATGGAGGATTATCCTTTTTATAATCTCTTTAACATTAATTTGAGTAACATGAGTCATTCTTTCAGAATATAAGGCCTAGCGTGGAGGATCTTCCAGAGGATATTGTCCCTCTATTGAAATCTTGTTGGGCACTGGACCCAAAAGCTCGGCCAGAATTTAAAGAAATCAG